GGGTTTTGCAGGAGTTTCGCAGCAATGCGAATTATTTAACTGACCCGAAAAGCCAGCAGGACCCACTCCCTAGGGCTTAGGGTTAGGGTTTAGGGCTTAGCGTTTAGGGTTTAGGGTTTAGGGTTTAGGGTTTAGGGTTTAGGGTTTAGGGTTTACCATGTAGGGTTTAATGCCTTCTGCAGTTTCAAAAAAAGCCCCACTTTCGTGGACTCTTCCGAGGGCCCCCAAATACCGAATTGGCTCCGGATATATTTCATTCCCTGAATTATAAATAAATAAATAAGTAAACAAATAAATATATAAATAAATAAATGAATAAACAAATAAATAAATAAATAAATAGATAAATAAATAAAATGAAGCAATAAACAATTAAAAAGATAATAAAATAAATAATGATAAGTATGAATGGTTAAAAGGACATTAAAATAAATAAATAAATTTAAATGAAATAATGAATTATTAAAAAGAAAATAAAATAAATAATAATAAATGTGAATGAACTAATAAATAATTAAAAAGACAATAAAATAATTAAATAAATGTAAAAGAAATTATAAATTATTAAAAAAAAAAAATAAAAATAAGTATGAATGAAGTAATAAATAAGTAAAAAATGGCAAACTAAATAAATACATAAAAATGAAATAATAAATAATTAAAAAGATAATAAAATAAACAATAATAGATGTGAATGAAGTAATAAATAAGGAAAACGGTAAAAAATAAATAGATAAATATAAATGAAATAATAAATAATTTAAAAAGATTAAAAGAAATAAATAAAATTGTGAGAGAAACAATAAATAGTTAAAAAGATAATAACGAGATAAACAATTGAAAAAGACAAATAAAATGTATAATTAATTAAAAGAATGATCAAAGGAAATAAATAATTATAATAGCAACTAAAATAAATAAAATAAATAAAATAAAAAAATAAATAAAATGAATAAAATAAACAAATAGTTTAAATAAATAAATGAGAAATAAGTAACTAAAAAGAAAATCACAAAACGAATACTTAAAATACATCTAATGGATTTAATTTAATTCAGCTAATTAAAATAAATTGAATTAAATTAAATTAAATCAAATTATATTTAATAAAATAAACAAAACCAAATAAAATAAAATAAAATAAAATAAAATAAAATAAAATAAAATAAAATAAAATAAAATAAAAAATTAAATTCATACTGTTTGACTTTAAAAAAAGCGTTGGCAAGTTGAATCAAATCAAATTCCATTAAAACAAAACAAAAAAATTAAATTACATAAACTAAATTTAATTAATTAAATCAAATTGATTTAATTAAATTAATTAAATTAATTAAATTAATTAAATTAATTAAATTAATTAAATTAATTAATTAAATAATTTACATTGTTTGACTTTGAAAAAAGCATTAGCAGCATAAAGTTCTGTTGCTGCCAAAAGTCTTCCCCACAAAAAAAGTTTTTTGTCTTTTGTAATTCTTCCATATTCTCCAACAGCCCAATAAGCAAAAGCTGCTTCTCCGGGGTTTTGCTGCAGCAGCAGCAGCAGCAGCAGCAGCAGCAGCAGCTCAGCCGCAGCAGCAGCAGCAGCAGCAGCAGCAGCAGCAGCTCGGACGCCCCAGCAGCGCCGCTGCAGCAACCAGACACGTCGTAGCAGCTGAACAGCAGCAGCAGCAGCAGCAGCAGCTCAGCCGCTGCAGCAGCAGGACAATTGCTGCACACAGGAGGCGTCTGCAGCAGCAGCAGCAGCAACTCTTTCTGCTGCTGCTGCTGCTGCTGCTGCTGCTGCTGTGTTGCAGAAAAGAGACACTTTAAAGACAGCTGCAGCAACCTGGAGCCTCATTTGACTTTTGCTGCTCAGCAGCAAAACAAAAGAAGACTAAAAGAAAAAATAAGAGAATAAAAAGAAAAATAAATAAATAAATAAATAATTAATTAATTAATAAATAAATAATAAATAAAAGGAAATAAATAAAACAGAAACTTATTTAAAGAAATAAAAGCCTCGAAAGCAACAGGAGAAAACCCAGGAGACAAACACACAAATTACCCTTTTACGCTGCAGTGGTCAGCTTAGGGTTTAGGGTTTAGGGTTTAGGGTTTAGGGTTTAGGGTTTAGGGTTTAGGGTTTGCGGTTTAGGGTTTAGGGTTTAGGGTTTAGGGTTTAGGGTTTAGGGTTTAGGGTTTAGGGTTTAGGGTTTTGTTTTAGGGTTTAGGGTTTAGGGTTTAGGGTTTAGGGTTTAGGGTTTAGGGTTTAGGGTTTAGGGTTTAGGGCAGTGGTCAGCTTAGGGTTTAGGGTTTAGGGTTTAGGGTTTAGGGTTTAGGGTTTAGGGTTTAGGGTTTGCGGGTTTAGGGTTTAGGGTTTAGGGTTTAGGGTTTAGGGTTTAGGGTTTAGGGTTTAGGGTTTAGGGTTTACGAGGTAGGGCCCTGCGGGGTTGACGTATTGGAGGCCAGAGTCGTAAGAGTTTAAAAACCACCAGTCTTTGTGGCGGTGTGGCTG